GATTTTTTTTAGATATTTCTAAAGTCTGAAACTTTGAGAATATGTTCGTTAAGTTGTACGTATAAATTTGAGTAAGGGAGATCGGGGTTAGATGCCCTTTTAGAATTTTGAAGTTACAACTTCTTAGGCAATTAATTGTTGTAACTGACTGTATAAACATGATAGAGGTAATTTTCTCCCATTTTCTATTCTAGAAAGAACGATTTGGTGGAATCAAACAAACACTTCTTTGGAATGATCAAAACGAATTTTTTGATTGATCGAACAAAGTTTTGTTTGACGTAACAAAAGTATTTATTTGCGGCTTAGTTCCCAAGAAATATTTTTGTTGTGTCAACTAAAAAATTCGTTTAAACTATTCCAAAGAAACGTTTATTTGATCCAACAAATCGTTCTCTTTGTGTATTAATGCCTGCCACGACTGTTAAGCGTATATTTTGTTTTGTAATAACCAAAATACGAACATGCAGCAACGTAGCTATCTTGTCCTGGTATCGGATTCAGTTGTAACGCAGGATAAGAAGTTCACGTATAAAATATATATCTTGATTATAGTAGTTTTAGAGTTTCCGCAAGAGGTCTTCACAACTCTCCTTCCGGCTTTTAATTATGGGCCAACTTTACCTCGTCCGCTCATATGCTATATCTCAATAATTTTATGAATAAAAATTGCATTTACTAGCAGAAACAGTATATCATGCACGTGTAAAAAATTTCATTCTAGCTAAGAGATATCACTTAATTTTATTCAGTTATACATAAGCCATATATAAAATATATATCCTGATTAGTAGTTCCTACTATAAGATATTATCAATGGTTCGTAAAAACGAAAGAATTGCTGAGAAAAACTTCTTCAAAATAACAGATGTACTCTATTGCCACGGAATAGCTAATTAGATGTAAATAGTTAATATTTATAGTTAAATATAAAATTACAAGTTTTAAAATTACAACAAAGTTTTAAAATCATTTTCCTTGAAATCTTATATTTTTCAAGTTGTAAAAGTGATTATTAAGAAACTATTTTAAAGATATCGCTTTGAAATTTGACATGCTTATAAAATATATATTTGTAACGACGCGTATATATATATATAATTAATCGTTACTAAAAATTACAACAACGCAGAACATCGCGAATCAAGAGCGCAAGAGGACAACGCGTCCTCTAA